CCGCTCGTATTAATCGACCGCTGCATTAGAATAAATGCGGAATATTATCGCGAAAATATTCTGGAGGATGTATTGAAAACTTGGGCACGCAAAAATTTTGGCCGCAGACCTTGGACAATCCAACAGGACTCAGCACGCGCCACCCAAGAATGGTTATTCATATAGGCCCCATATAACGCTACCTCCCGATATTCGGTATTTTGATGATTTTAGCGTCATTATTCTCTGGAATTGTTTAAAATTTGGTATTTGAAGTTCGTAATGGATACTACAGCCTAAGACAGATAATTTCCTCTGCAGGTCCACGTCTTCGTATAGCGCCCATATAACGGTAACTCGCTATATTCGGAATTTTGATGATGTTAGCGTCATTATTCACCGAAATTTTTTTTTTTAAAAATACGTACTTAGAGTTCGTAATAGGAACTACAGTCTTTGACAGAAAATTGTCTACGCAGGTGCAGGTCTTCGTATAGGCCCAAACGCCAGTACCTCCCTATATTCGGTATTTTGACGAGTTTTGTTACAATACTCGCCGAAATTGTTTGAGATGTCGTATTTGTAGTTCGTAATGGATTTTACAGCCTATGGCAGAAAATTGTCTATGCTGGTCCAGGTCTTCTCACAGCTCCGATATAAAGGTACCTCCCTATATTTTGATGATTTTGGCTACATTATTCACCATTTATTTCAAGATTAGATTTTGAATATGGTAATGTCTTATGGCAAACAATGCCGATGTAGCTCCGCGCCGTATATACACAAAAATAAAGGCTATATTCGGTTTTTTTAAATTTTATCAGAATTTCTTAAGGATTTTATTTTCAAATACATTCCAGATGGTGGAGGGTATTCAAAGTTTGATGCGGCTGAACTTACTGCTTTTTAACTTGTTTTTCTATGAAAAAGTTGATCCACCCCAATGTATACGTTTTTTTATTGACATGTACTTCGAACTTTGTACATGCTGCAGGTAGCATGTCACACACACAGCATAAAAAAGTTTTACCTGTATTTCAAAAAAGATTACTTCGTTGGCATGTGACTTGTCAACATCTATAAAATTCCCAATTAATTTCAAATTTTAAGCTCTTGCTAGTTCTTTTTTTTCATGGAATTTGCTGGAGATTTCTTGTGAACATAACCAAGGACGCAAAAAGTTGCGGATTTTGTCGTCTTTGAAACTTTCAATGTCGTGAAAATACACTCAAGAAGGATAATTTAACTTAAACATAAACAAACTTGGACTGCACGTTTTGCTTCCTTTAAAGTGAAAAAAAAAAAATTATTCTTAAAGTAAAACCATTTTTTAGGAGTTTGATTTTGGCTCCTATCGAATTTTCTCAAATGAATGTAGACACTTTTCAGATTATCTCATTTTATATTGGCAAAAAGGGGGACTGTAATCTTATATCTTCTTAAAATTTCTCCAACCATCCCATAGAAATAAAAAAAATAATTTGTGTAATGGAAATGGTGTAAATCCATAATTGCCTCCTGCACAAAATAAGCTGCTTTCATTTAATTGTTAGCTTTTGATTTTATAACTCCTGTTGGTGTTTTTTTTTTTTTTTTTTTTGCTGTGACAACGAGCTCCATTGCTGACAAATGGACATGACCATGACGTACTTACCCTCCACCATTTGGTACGAATTCAACAATTTTCAAAAAAAAAAAAAAAAAATAAAAGGATTTTAAAATTCTGTTAAAATCGTGTAGCCGTATATTAGAGTCTATATGGCGACATGGACCTGCATAGGCAACTTTTGTCACAAGGCAACTTATATCACAATATTCAAATGCGAAACTTGAAAAAAATCTGTTTATAATGTAGCTAAAATCGTCGAATATAGGGATGTACCATGGTGGTTATAAAACGTGGATCTGCACACAAAATTTTTTGTCATAGGCTATTATATCGAACTTCACGAACTTCAAATGCGAAATTTGAAACAATTCCGATAAATAATGTCGCTAATATCGGGGTGTACCGTTATATGGGGGCTATACGAAGACGTGGACCTGCACAGACAATTTTCTGTCATAGGCTGTAGTATTCATTACGAACTTCAAATGCGAAATTTGAAACAATTCCGGTAAATAGGTTCGCTAAAATCATGAAAATACCGAAGATCGGTGGTACCGTTATATGGGGGCTATACGAAGGCGTAGTCCTGCACAGACAATTTTCTGTGATAGGCTGTAGCATCCATTACGAACTTCAAATACTAAATTTGAAATAGTTCCGGTAAATAATGTCGCTAAAATCATCAAAATACTGAATATTGGGGGGTACCGTTATATGGGGGCTATACGAAGACGTAGACCTACATGGCTTATTTTCTGTCTTAGGATGTAGTATCCATTACGAATTTCAAATACCAAAATTGAAGCAATTCCGGTAAATAATGTGGCTAAAATGATTAAAATACCGAATATCGGGGGGTACCGTTACATGGGGGCTATACGAAGACGTGGACCTACATTGCCCATTTTCTGTTTTATGCTGTAGTATCTATTAAAAATTTTAAATACCAAATTTGAAACAATTCCGGTAAATAATGTAGCTAAAATCATCAATATACCGAATATCGGGAGGTACAGTTATATGGGAGCTATCCGATGACGTGGACCTATTTGGCCCATTTTCAATACCAAAAGTCCTGCAGACATAGTACACATTTGAGTAAAATTTTATCAACCTACTTCATTTCGTTCGGAAGCTAGAGTGATTTCCACAGACGGACAGACGGATAGACGGACAGACGGACGGACATCGATAAATCGACATAGAATTTTATGCTGATCAAGAATATATATACTTTGTGGGGTCTAAAATGTATATTTCGAGGTGTTACAAACGGAATGACAAACTTAATATACCCTCCATACTATGGTGGAGGGTATAAAAATAGAAAATGGGATACAGCGAACTGAATACGATAATGGGAGATGTCATCTAGGATAAAATCTCAACTTTTATTAAAGGGATTAACGTCATAGGAGTCAGAGAGAAAGAGAGGATATGATGAGAACAAAACTACTGTAAATAACAAATAGCGACAAAAAAAAAATAACAATGTTAGTAAAGACCATTAGGACTTCAAGGTACAATGTTTGACTATTGTTGTTATGAACATTTGTTCGTTATGACATTTGGCATTTTACTTAACATTGATAAATGGGCTGACATAAACGCAGACATGTGTGCTTTTATTTATTTATTTATTTTTTTGGAAAATATTTTCATAAAAAATACTAGAAAGCAAAATATATGTATAAGAGCGAGTTGTTCAAATATAAATCACGTCTATGCATACATTCGTATATTAGGGTGGAAAAGAGCGTCAAAGGGTCCCTATTCGTAACCTAACGCAGAATAAATGAGTTTATCATCTACTGCCATGTTTACGTTAGAACTTTTTGTAGGGTTAACCTACTTTGAGAGGATTTATTTGAAGTAAAGGTAATAGATATGACAATTTAAATCCAAATCCAGTGGGTTAACCCTCATATATATAAACGTACCTTACGATAGAGTAGATGACGTTTTCGGTCATATACTTTTTTTTAGAGTGGATGACGCTTTCGGTCATCGACTTTCTTTTTTTTAGAGTAGATGACGCTTTCGGTCTGCTGCTGTAGAAAAAATTTTGCTTCAGGGTCCTGAGAAATTTTTTTTCTGAAGAAAAAACTTCGCACAATGTCCTGAGAAATTCTTTTCTAAAGTAAAAAACTTGCCTCAGTGTCCTGAGGAATGTTTTTCTAAAGAAAAAACTTGCCTCAGTGTCCTGAGGAATGTTTTTCCAAAGAAAAAACTTGCCTCAGTGTCTTGAGGAATTTTTTTCTAAAGAAAAAACTTGCCTCAGTGCCCTGAAGAATTTTTTTCTAAAGAAAAAACTTGCCTCAGTGTCCTGAGGAATTTTTTTTTCTAAAGAAAAAACTTGCCTCAGTGTCCTGAGGAATTTTTTTCTAAAGAAAAAACTTCGCTCAATATCCTGAGGAATTCTTTTCTAAAGTAAAAAACTTCGATCACTGTCCTGAGGAATTCTTTTCTAAAGTGAGAAAACTTGTCTCAGTGTCCTGAGGGTTTTTTTTTTTTTTCTAAAGAAACAACATGCCTCAGTGTCCTGAGGAATTTTATTCTAAAGAAACAACATGCCTCAGAATCCTGAGGATTTTTTTTTTTCTAAAGAAAAAACCTGCCTCAGTGTCCTGAGTAATTTTTTCTAAAGAAAAAACTTGCCTCAGTGTCCTGAGGAATTTTTTTTTCTAAAGAAACAACTCGCCTCATTGTCCTGAGGAATTTTTTTTCTAAAGAAACAACTTGCCTCATTGTCCTGAGGAATTTTTTTCTAAAGAAAAAACTTGCCGCAGTGTCCTAACGAATTTTTTTCTAAAGAAAAAGTAGTAAAGATTGCCCTTTCGGTCATTTACGGATGAGTAGATGACGCTTTTGGGTCATCTACGGATGTTCCTCTACAGTGGAGTAGATAACGCTTTTGTTCATCTACTATAGAGTAGATGACATTTTTGCTCATCATTCATTTTCAGTCATTTCCTGTAGAGTAGCTGATATTTTCGCCCATTTACAATTGAGAAATATAACGGTTTTGATCATCTACTGCAATTCCCACATTAGCCATCTATGCTAACCACACAACCGCTCCATCCTAATATAAAAACAGAATACATTTAAAATGAAAAATCTCCACAACACACTGTTAAAACATGTGACAGTAGCGAACATATGACACATGATGTATACGTATCCAGGGCATATAAGTCCCTAATCCGCGCAGATAAAAGGCACTGGAGGAGCCAATGTTCAGGTGACAGAATCACGTACATTTCTATTAAGAGGACCATAAATAAAAACAAAAACTGTTAAGCATACAACGACATATGCCAGTGTATGGGTCGGAGTGTTATATAAATGTTAATACATTTATCCTTTTAAGCGTAGGATGTACAATTTAATGAAATTTGGCAACACTTACCCCACCATGTCCTGAACCATCAAGACCTTCATCATCAATGTAGATTTCATCACGGGGCGATTGACTAGATGATAATGTTGAGGCTGGTGAGGGCTTAAGAGAATTCTGCAAAAGAGAGAGAGAGAGGGAGAGAGAGAAAAATCGGATTTTTAATTAAAATTTGATGGGAATATGAGAGCTAAAATTAATTGCCTTAGCGTATGCTACATTTTTTGACCTAAATAAATTGTGAATAAATAACACCATTTGCTGTGATTAGTACCCTGAAAACCGATTTAGAACTGGCAAATATTTGACATTTCTTTTGTGAGCCACAATCGTTTGTGTTTGTTTGTTTTCTAAAAACAAAAATAAACCAAATATTCTGCTGGTATTTATTTAGTTTTATCCTCTTAAAAAAAAATCGTATAGAAAATTAAGATATAAATGAAAATGTACACAATTGTCCTTTGCACAGATATACACATATTGGCACACAGTCCTGGGCATAACAGCAATCAATATAAAGGACCTTTGGCAAGGATATTCAGGCTAATGATCATCAATACAATAAATAATGTCATTGTGTTGGAAATTACGTTGCTGCTGCTGCTATGGGTGACGATGATGATAATCTCTATGAGGCTGTCGGCAATGCTGTTGAAGTATGTCAAAAAGGATGTGTTTGTATTTAAACAATACACAAAAAGATGGAACATGGGAAAGATTGAGAGAGGGGAAAAATAGCAAATAACTAACAAACATATTGACGTAAAGATATACAAGCTGTGTATAAAATTCACAATTCTCGGTTATATTGAAGTTGACGTACATACACACATATGTAAATCTGTATGTCTTCACACATATGTATATTTTAAAAGAATTGTTCATTTTACATTTTATGTGGAAAAATATGGGGTAGCTCTAAGAAAAATTTACTCAAGAAAACTGAGGACTTTTTTTCTATAGAAAAAACTTGGCCTCAGTGGCCTGAGGAATTTTTTTCTATAGAAAAAACTTGGCCTCAGTGGCCTGAGGAATTTTTTTCTATAGAAAAAACTTCGCTCAGTGTCCTGAGGAATTTTTTTCTATAGAAAAAACTTCGCTCAGTGCCCTGAGGAATTTTTTTCTATAGAAAAAACTTCGCTCAGTGCCCTGAGGAATTTTTTTCTATAGAAAAAACTTCGCTCAGTGCCCTGAGGAATTTTTTTCTATAGAAAAAACTTCGCTCAGTGCCCTGAGGAATTTTTTTCTATAGAAAAAACTTCGCTCAGTGCCCTGAGGAATTTTTTTCTATAGAAAAAACTTCGCTCAGTGCCCTGAGGAATTTTTTTCTATAGAAAAAACTTCGCTCAGTGCCCTGAGGAATTTTTTTCTATAGAAAAAACTTCGCTCAGTGCCCTGAGGAATTTTTTTCTATAGAAAAAACTTCGCTCAGTGCGAAGAAAAAACTTGCCTCAGTGTCCTGAGGAATTTTTTTCTATAGAAAAAACTTGCCTCAGTGTCCTGAGGAATTTTTTTCTATAGAAAAAACTTGCCTCAGTGTCCTGAGGAATTTTTTTCTATAGAAAAAACTTGCCTCAGTGTCCTGAGGAATTTTTTTCCTCAGTGTCCTGAGGAATTTTTTTCTATAGAAAAAACTTGCCTCAGTGTCCTGAGGATTTTTTTTCTATAGAAAAAACTTGCCTCAGTGTCCTGAGGAATTTTTTTCTATAGAAAAAACTTGCCTCAGTGTCCTGAGGAATTTTTTTCTATAGAAAAAACTTGCCTCAGTGTCCTGAGGAATTTTTTTCTATGGAAAAAACTTGCCTCAGTGTCCTGAGGAATTTTTTTCTATGGAAAAAACTTGCCTCAGTGTCCTGAGGATTTTTTTTCTATAGAAAAAACTTGCCTCAGCGTCCTGAGGAATTTTTTTCTATAGAAAAAACTTGCCTCAGTGTCCTGAGGAATTTTTTTCTATAGAAAAAACTTGCCTCAGTGTCTTGAGGAATTTTTTTCTAAAGAAAAAACTTTGCTCAGTGTCCTGAGGAATTTTTTTCTGTAGAAAAAACTTGCCTCAGTGTCCTGAGGAATTTTTTTCTATAGAAAAAACTTGCCTCAGTGTCCTGAGGAATTTTTTTCTATAGAAAAAACTTGCCTCAGTGTCCTGAGGAATTTTTTTCTATAGAAAAAACTTGCCTCAGTGTCCTGAGGAATTTTTTTCTATAGAAAAAACTTGCCTCAGGGTCCTGAGGAATTTTTTTCTATAGAAAAAACTTGCCTCAGTGTCCTGAGGAATTTTTTTCTATAGAAAAAACTTGCCTCAGTGTCCTGAGGAATTTTTTTCTATAGAAAAAACTTGCCTCAGTGTCCTGAGGAATTTTTTTCTATAGAAAAAACTTGCCTCAGTGTCCTGAGGAATTTTTTTCTATAGAAAAAACTTGCCTCAGTGTCCTGAGGAATTTTTTTCTATAGAAAAAACTTGCCTCAGTGTCCTGAGGAATTTTTTTCTAAAGAAAAAACTTCGTTCAGTGTCCTGAGGAATTTTTTTCTAAAGAAAAAACTTCGCTCAGTGTCCTGAGGAATTTTTTTTCTATAGAAAAAACTTGCTTCAGTGTCCTGAGGATTTTTTTTCTATAGAAAAAACTTGCCTCAGTGTCCTGAGGAATTTTTTCTATAGAAAAAACTTGCCTCAATGTCCTGAGGAATTTTTTTCTAAAGAAAAAACTTCGCTCAGTGTCCTGAGGAATTTTTTTCTATAGAAAAAACTTGCCTCAGTGTCCTGAGGAATTTTTTTCTATAGAAAAAACTTGCCTCAGTGTCCTGAGGAATTTTTTTCTAAAGAAAGAACTTTGCTCAGTGTCCTGAGGAATTTTTTTCTAAAGAAAAAACTTTGCTCAGTGTCCTGAGGAATTTTTTTCTATAGAAAAAACTTGCCTCAGTGTCCTGAGGAATTTTTTTCTATAGAAAAAACTTGCCTCAGTGTCCTGAGGAATTTTTTTCTATAGAAAAAACTTGCCTCAGTGTCCTGAGGAATTTTTTTCTATAGAAAAAACTTGCCTCAGTGTCCTGAGGAATTTTTTTCTATAGAAAAAACTTGCCTCAGTGTCCTGAGGAATTTTTTTCTATAGAAAAAACTTGCCTCAGTGTACTGAGGAATTTTTTTCTATAGAAAAAACTTGCCTCAGTGTCCTGAGGAATTTTTTTCTAAAGAAAAAACTTCGTTCAGTGTCCTGAGGAATTTTTTTCTAAAGAAAAAACTTCAGTATCCTGAAGAATTTTTTTCTAAAGAAAAACCTCTTTCAGTGTCCTGACGAACTTTTTTCTAAGGAAAAAGTCAAAATTTATATGAAAAAATTCTGTGGAAAAATCCTAATGCAATGCCTCATGTTATCCTATTGTATTTGCCAATGAAACGAATTTGAGAAAAAAGAGATTGAGTCTGTAACGATCTTAAAATTACACAATTATTTTCACACGCAAAACCCATTTACATACACATAAATATACATATGTGTTTGTGTATGTAAAAACATCCATCTATTCATTCGCAGGGGATTGTTTGCTGAAACCAATGGCACAAATAACAAATGAATGTTCAAATAGACATTTGTACGTAAAAATATGTTCCAACAAATACAAACATATGCACATACATGTAGTTTACATTAACATATGAATGAACAATACATATGCACATACATATGTATGTATATAAGCACATGTTGTTTGGTATTGGCATTGATGATGACAATACTGGCATTGTGAATAATAAGATTGGCAGAAGGCTTAACTAAAAAGGATAGCGAGTTCGGAATAAATGAGTTTGGGTAAAAACAAAATTTTCAAAATTTTTTGGAGAAATAATACAAACATTTCAGATACCCATTTCTTCATAAAATATTATTATGAAAGTTACATTTATCAAGACCTTACTGTAGTTTACAGAATATACCCAGAAGAAACAAGAATGCTGAGAGAAAAAAAGAACAATAACGAACCGAACGCCTAAAATGCGGCATTGATTTTTGGAAATCAACAACATTGATGAGTACTGAATAGACCAAAGAGGAGGAAATAAAAACCCTATTTCTAAGTTCATAATGGCTTTGAAATTTCTTTTGTCGTAAACGTTGTTTTTTTTTGCGTTTGTAATTAACATTCCATAGCTGTTAATGTTGCTGTGTGTGTGATAATGACACATAAACCTAGTCAATACACATGCAAAAGATCTTTCTTTTTATGAGCCTTAACAAAGGCAATGATTTTTATGTCACACAGATTGTCAGTCAAAATGTCGTTTGCAATAAAAATATTTTGAAAGAAAGTCATTAAATAAGGACATTGAAGGAATTTAAAATTAAAGTCATTAAACGAAAGAAAAAAATGCCCTCAGGAATCAGAAGAAATTTTATATGTACATAAAATTTAAAAACCTAAAATAAACTCTTTGGTATGCAGACAGGTTGAGGCAATAGAGCTATTTTTCTATAGAAAACAAATTCCTCAGGTCGCAGAGCTTTTTTTCCATAGAAAAAAGTTCCTCAGCTCCCTGAGGCAGTTTTTTCCGTAGAAAAAAGTTCCTCATCTCATTGAGCCAGGTTTTTTTCTGTAGAAAAAAGTTCCTCATCTCATTGAGCCAGGTTTTTTTCTGTAGAAAAAAGTTCCTCAACATCCTGGGGCTGGTTTTTTCTGTAGAAAAAAATACTCAACTCCTTGTGGTAGGTTTTTTTAGAAAAAAATCCTTAGAACCCTAAGGTAGGTTTTTTCTATACACAAAAAACCTCAGCTCCCTGTGGCAGTTTTAATAAAAATCCTCAGCACCCTGAGACAGGTTTTTTTCGGTAAAAAAAAATCCTCAGCTTTTTGGGGCAGCTATTTTCTATAGAAAAAAAATCCTTAGCTCTTTGAGGCAGATTTTTTTCTATAAAAAAATCCGCAGCTCTTTGTGTCAATTTTTAAGAAAAAAAAACTTTTGGCCCCTGAGGCATTTTTTCTAAAGAAAAAATCTCTGGATCCTGGTTCACTTTTTTTCTATAGAAAAAAGTCCACTGGTCCCTCTTCTATAGAAAAAAATCCACAATCCACCACTCTATCGAAAGCAATTTCTCAGATTCTTGAAGCAAATTTTTTCTGTGGAAACA